GGAGGGTAACTTATGAGTACCGCGACGCATACGCGCTCCATACTTACATGAAAGAAGCTACCAGATATCCCTGTTCGGACGTGCCTATCTTCTTTGTTTACTTGACCAGGCGAGTTGTTCAAACTCATTTTTTGGACGCGTGATGAATATGGGATGGTTCAGTTTCATTGAGTTTATAAAGCTTAATGAATAACAAATAGATCTCTGCTATAAAATGGAGGGCGCTCATGTCGTTGAAGGGGGATTGGGAGCATTCAAGCGGCCTTAGAGGGAGGAAGGGATTCTGGAAAAAGGATTCGAGCAGTTTTCGTTCAGCTTGACCTTCTCCCCTCTCATTGGCTTAGTCCTAGGGTCATCTACCAGTGGTTTTTAAGTGTCCTGCATTGAAAATCTCCCCAGGCTATGAACGCTAGAAGCTGTTCTGATTCCCGCTAGCTTAGCTTTTCGCTTTCCTTGCTACTTTTGACTTTTCGAGTGCTAGAGGCACGTGCCGTACCTCCAGCACCCTTGCGGCACGTATCATTACTTTGCCTGAAAGCTCCTTGGGAACAACGCTATTACGTTCCAAACGCAAGCAGTGCCCGTACACGCAACGATTCCTTTGTATTGGCTGGACTGCTTCAGGCTTATTCTCGTTCAAAGAACGTTTGTATCCGTGCTCCTGTTGAACTGCGCATTCCATTGTTCAACAGCACGCTTCAGTACAACGTGGATTACGGTAGAACCATTTCACCATACTGATAAATCGTTCTTATGGTAGGATCGGGCCTATTTGCCTTATCTGAGTTACCCTGCCTGCGTCCGCGTCATCTCTGTCCTCTCGCATGCACACATCATCAGAGTATCCCCAGCCGCATACACGCTGCTGTAAACTCAAGCATAATGCCAAAGATTATCTGAGAAAAAAAGGGATCTCTTCAGATTGTTTCCGATAGTTCCTAGCTCTTTCTTGTAAGGTCACGCAGAATCTTCACTTTCATGTCCGACCTTGCCAGCCATGTATTTTAATCGTGGAATATGCGCCTGATAAGACTTGAAGTCGGCTAACATTCACCCCGACCAAGCATTCAATCGGGAAAAGTGGCGCCAGCACATCAGAAAAGCGGACCCCGCCAACAAGCGGGACAAACGCTAAAGAAGAAGAAGAAGCGCTGATAAGAGCTAGAGTTTCGATGGGGCTAGTTCCTATTCAGCTGTTTGTCCCTGAAAACCATGCTGCACCCCCCCCCTGCGATGACAATGACCGGTGTCAGGTTTGAATGGTGATGTTCTTTTCGGCAATGCTTAGTAGTAATGTAGACGTATCCGATATGCAATGAACAATAGCGGGCAGCGAGAGTGCTCCGTGAGGCCAGCAAGAGGAACAAGTGGCCATTCAACGACATGTTTCTTTCAATCCCTCTATCCCTTTAGAAGCCACTCTCCCTTCACCTAGGTGTGGCTGCCGCATCTGCAAGTTAGGTAGAGGTGCAAAATTCCCGTCAGAGAAGAAAAAAGGGAAAGGAAACCGTTCAAAACATCGAAATCGAAAGCCTTCTCTTCTGAACAGTGGACGATTGGCCAGACTGCAGTCTGAGGTTCTCAGCCCCGAGCGCGAGAGACCCGACTCAGAAGTGAGAGCACATAGGGACGTACAGTATCAGTTTCATCTGGAACTTACCCGCTCTCACTTTGACTGTAATGTTCGTGAGTGTGGTATCGATGCATAAAAAACAAAAAAAAAACAATAGCACTCGGACAAAAATCCATCAATAAATCAATGAAATCGATTCCAGAGTGACGATGTGCGATTTCGAGGTGCGAGTTCTTGGCAACAAACACCGTCATTCCGTACAATGTGTGCTGATGATCAACATGTTCAACGAGAAGGTATTGATTATTTGGAGCATTCTTCCTCTGCTTGTTCAGCTAATCAATAATCGATTCAGGTATACTTGTTCATCTGGTTCTGGCTTTTCGGTGTTCTCATCTACAACATCGGCAACTTCATCTATTGGTGCACGTTGCTCCTGTCAGAGGAGAGGCGTGAGAACTTCGTCGGCTCATATCTCAAGCTGCTCGGGCTCGTCAACGATGAAGATATGTCAAGTGAGTGAAAGCGAAACTCATCTGACTAGTAATGGAATTTTTTGACAATTTTACAAGAATGTTGAGGACTTTTGACTTTTCGACCTCAAAAAATGCGATTCAACATGAGCTTATGTTTCAAATTTTCTGCTATGCCCCGACCCAAACAACCCCGCCTCCCTGGGCTGATTGCATGGGATAAACTTAGCGTACTTGCAGGTTACTGTGCAATTGTTGGATGAATTTGAATGAATTGCTTCTTCATGTAGGCGGGTATGGCTCGCTGACTAAAGGTTGCATCACTTAGCTAACTATAATCATTTCACCGTCTTTGGATTGCTCCTCAATTGCGAGACCGAACTTTGTGGTGATAAAAGTAACACGTTCGCCACCGATTGTTTCGGGCACTCATGTCCATCTCATTTTGCATAATCATCTATCTCTACTATGTGGAGAGGATATAAAACATGTGGTGCGGGCTGAATGAGCTCATCTACGCTAACAATTTCT